CGGTTTAAACGACCGTCGCTTTGCACCATAGCGCCGCTTGAAATCACGTTCCATCATGAGCTTCTTTTCATCAGCTGTGGGCCCTGAGAACGGCCGAACGGCATCAAGGGGCATGCGGAGCTTTCTCTCCATCATTGCCTCTACTGGTGATACTCCATTTGGCGTTTGTGGGTTTTGTGTAGATCGGTACAGAAAGAGTAACCGGTCGATCACCTGCGCTGTGTCTCTTTCCCTCCTTGATTTGAGGATAGCGCGTTTGAATCTATTCACGAATCTCTCCGCTTGGCCGTTCGGTTGTGGGTGGAATAGTGGAAACCGCACGTGTTTTATGGCGCAGCTTTTGCAGAACTCCGTGAATGTGGCGGAAGTAAACTGTGCTCCGTTGTTTGTCACCAATGTTTCAGGGCAGCCGAACCTACTGAAGACTTGTCGCAATCTTGAGACCGTTGTGCTGCTTTTCCTGCTCCTCATGAGGAACACTTCGGGCCACTCGCTGTAAGCGTCGACCATTATGAGAAAGTTCTGGTCATTCATTGGTCCTGCTAAGTCGACATGAACACGACTCCAAGGTTTCGTTGGTTTCGGCTACGAGTGGAGTTGTCTTCGGTGGTGCTCTTGAAGCGGCAGCGCAGTTGCTGCAACTTCTAGCTAGCTGCTCCAGCTGTCTGTCCATAAACGGCCAACACACGTAACTTCGGGCCGACGCTTTTTTGGGCTGAGCGCTGGATGTCCTGCATGGAACTGCCCTAACACTTTCTTGCAATATCGGCGGGATGGCTACTCCCTCCGAAAACATGACACAATCGTTCACAATAAAGATCGAATGTCTTTGCTGATAGAATTGCTGCATTTCTGCAGACGAGCACGAACGTGACCAGCTGGTTCTGTGGGAGTGTATAACCTTTTGGATTAGAACTCGCAGTGTTTCGGCCCCCACAGCCTCTGCCGTTACTGCAAAACCATCTCATGCCTCGCTGACCAGGAATTTGACGTCGAGTTCGGTCTCAACTGAGGCTATGATAGTATCCTCGTGTTCTTGCTGCTAGGAATCAATGAGGCATGACAACGCATCTGCTTGGCCCATCGAAACTCTTGACTGATAACGGATTTCAAAATCGTAGCTTAGCAAAAAGAATGCCCATCGTTGGAGTCGTTTGGCTGTGTTGCTAGGAATGCTCTTTTTCGAGTCGAAAATGGCCAGTAGCGGCTTGTGATCCGTCAAGACCATATAGCATCCTGTGTCGGTATTTCCCTCAGCAAACATGCTGAAGGCAATTTGCTCGACTGGATACAGGTGAACAGCTGCATGTACGTTTTTCGAATTGGAGCCTCTATTGGAGTTACTAAGCAGCCAAGGTGTCTTTTCATTGCCTCAGTTTATGCCCCTCCTGAGTGCAGTTCAGAGGGTCTCATAGACCATTTCTGTCGACAGCTCTCACCTCTTCTTCACATGACGAGAAGTACTGCAATCGTGCTTGTTGCTGGGACATGGTTGCCCAAGTGCGTCGTATTTCAGACTATGCACAACACCTTAGCGGTCGCCGACATCGTGATTGTCGCTGGTGACATAAATGCCCAAGTGGGTCGTCTTTCCGACTTTGGACAACTGGGAGGGCGCTTCGGAATCGATGCACGCCGAACAGACTGGGGATCGAATCCTGCAACAGTGCGCCGACCAGAACATTTACCTTAGCAGCAATGCATTCCAGCACAAACGTTCATACCGCGTCACCTGGCGCCCATCGATTCCCTCAATGAACTGGACTTAACTTGACCATCTACAGATGGCACACATCAGTCCAAGGCTGTCGGTCAATTATTATTATTATTTTGTCGGTCAATTTGGAGCACGTGCCCGGGTTCCGACCATACTCTATTGCGTGAACACTTGACGCTCACTCTTCCCGCTTCAAAGAAGCGGCTATCTTCTAGCCTTCTCGCAATCTGCAGTTCAACGATATCACGACGAACTGGCGCACCAATTGTCGGTGATGAATGAGGTTGGTGATCCGAACGCTGACTGGGATCGTTTCAAGTGTGTCTTAAGTAATGCCTTTGACGCATGCTGTGCACCCAACTTAGGACGTCGTAACTGAATGGATCTTTGAGGCATCGATCAGCTTGGTCGAAGCACGGAAATGAGTTCCAATGGGTACTGAGTTTCAGCGTGTCCATAACTGTTAAATCATGCATCACAAGGGGTCTTAGAATCGTCGGGGAACGTTTGTGGATAGCACTGAGTGCCATTTCAATTTATCCGGAACACGGGTACAAGAAAGCCATCCGTTCGTGCGGCAAAAGCTGAGAAAGACGGACAGCTTTTCCATTCCCAGCGTCCTCGACTACCCCATTGTGCGGAACATTTTGAAAGGCAGTTCAACAGGCCTGCTGCGACATTGCAGCTTACCGAATCGCCTGAGCCTGCGTAGGAAGTATATGTCACATCTGAGCTTTCCGTGTTGAAAAGAAACAAGGCTCCTGGACCCGACGACCTTCCTCCATCTTTGCTGTAAGATGGTGGTGACCCTTTGTTGACTGGACTCGCTGCTCTAACACGATTTTGAACAGTGAAGAGGTACCTTCAGACTGGCAACTGTCAGTTGTCTTGCCCATCTTCAAGAAGGGTCAGCGTACTTAGTGCGAAAATCATCAAGGCATCAGTCTTGTTTTCATTGCATCCAAACTCCTCACTTGGATCATTATCCGATGACTTACTGGTCCCATGAGAACCGAATTGCTGAAAGTCAGGTTTGCTTCCACACATTTACTCTTCGCCAAATGTTGAAGCAGCGACACACATACAGACGACCGATTATGGTCCTTTTCATTGCCTTGAAAGCTGCCTTCGACCCTGTTGACCGCGTCTGATTGTGGCACTGTCTATCCATGAATGGCATACCGACTATATTCCTTTCCATTCTGAAGTCTCTCGATTATGATTCCCAAGACCGTGTAAGGACCTACGATAAACTGTCCCCTGATTTCCCTACGACAAGTGTGGTTCTCCATGGTTGACCTATATGTCCTTTCCTCTTCAACTTTATCGAAATGACCATGAGTGACTCTGGTGTTTCAGACTACAGGAGTGGAAGTTCTGCCAAGTGACCGACTGACAAACCTTGAGTATGCGTACCACAGCTCTTTTTGGGTCCGACGCAGTGGCTATGCAGACACTGCTGGATAGACAGACGCGTAGCGCCACAGGCTTCGGTATGGGCTTTACACCTTCAAAGTGCCGTTGCAAGACTGGATCGACACACCTCCGGTTCTAGCTATCACAGAACAGCCACTGAAAGTGGTGAATCGGTTCACTTACCTTGGTGGCTGTGTCACCTCTGGTGATCACATCACTGACGAAGTTACTTCGCGTATCAGCAAGACCCGTGTGGCTTTCCAAAGGCTTAACTATCTATGGAGACGGTGGAATATCAGCTTGTCAGTGAAAGGTAGGGTGTGTGACGCTGCAGTAAGGCCGGTGTTGCTGTATAGATCAGAGGCCAGGCCAGTTCGTGGTGAAGACAGACGCTTGGCTGTGTTTAACCAATAATACTTGCGGCGTAATGCTCACGTCTGGTGGGAACACCATGTGAACAACGTGATTGAGATAACTTCATCCAACCGCCTACAAGAAATTTGTTTTTGCATTGCAGCCTCTAAGTCTATTATGATCTGCATGCACATCTTACAGGAAAGCTCTCGGAATCTTTGACATTATGCATACTACATCTTTGACGACCTTGCCAGTTCCCCACAGCGGTCCCCGAAGCTGGATCGTTGCCCTTGAGGCGATCATTAACTTTCCTGTGACCATATTGCCTGTCACAGAATCTCGAACCTTGCACACCCCACTCCTCAGTTGTTGTACACATCAGCAGGCCAAGACCGACTACGGCTTTCGTAGGTTCTAAGGACAGCGCACGTCAATAGGGGAGATTATATATATATATATATATATATATATATATATATATATATATATCTTTGTGTATACAACCTGATTACAGACAATGTGCTATCAGAACCATGGCGAAATAAAAGGGGGAAACGATGCCCGACATGAAGAAAACGACTTTTTCGGTTTTACGCCGCTTTGGGATTTTTTTGTTTTAGATTTTTTTGTCCCATGAGACGTTAACTAATAGATAACACGATTGAACAGCAGTCTCTGCTGATGCCGATTGCACGCCATAGCCTTCAACGTTTCTAACCACTGGCAGTCCGAATCGTGTGGTCCCCGTCCTGGAAGGCGGACTTGTCCGACGGATGCTAAGCTTGAGGTTGCATTCCTCATACCCCTTCTCCACGTCATTGTTTGTCCACCGCGACACTTTTCCAATCGCTTCCGGGGAGCGCAAAAGACCCTCGGCGGGGAAGGCGCTGGGCCAGCATGCGCAATACGTGGCCGAGCCAACGCATGCGGTGTCGGAGAATAATGTTCTAAAAACTGGCGCTGCTTGCTCCAAGCACTCGGTCTCGGACCTCTGCGTTGCTTACGCGGTGTTGTCACCACACCCGAGCAGTCCTTCGTAGAAAGCGATTGTCGAATTCTGACAACTGCTTCATGTCTTTCGAGCGAATAGGACGTCTCACAGCCGTACAGGCATACTGCACGGACGGAAGCATTGTACATCCTGCCCTTGAGCTTGAGACTGACATCACGATGGCGCCATAGCTGTCTTAGTTTGATGAATGCAAGGCGAGCGGAGATAATGTAGCAGGTCCGAGCGTGACCTTATAGTGATCCATTATTCAAGAAGATCTTTGTGCCTCGGTTAGATGGCCATTATTGTTTTCTCTTTTTGTTACCATCTCATTTCACTTACATCCATCACACGTGATTGTTCCCACCATCCAATCAGCTCAGGCTCGATTCCCTCGGCAGCTGTGACAACTACATCCAGCTCGCCCCTAGGTCTTAACGAGGCACACTTTACACCCATTATGGTCTCTTACTAGGTGGTTGCGATAACTCCATCCGATCACCTGCATGGTATTTGTTTTGCATTGTAGCCCTCCAGGTCCGTGCATATCTGACACGGAAGCCCTCGGAATTCTTGACCGGAAGCATTTAAGGGCGAGACAGTGTCATGTCCAACGAAACTGTGAACATTACTGATCTGTCGATCCCACAATTACAGGAACTCGCCAGGCAGTACGATCAAAAGATCCAGTTTCTTTCTGCCTCCATCCAACAGCTTAAAACCTTGCAAGCTCGATTTGCTGGCTCTAAGAACTGTTTGAAGGGCTTTACTCCTGAAGCAGAAAATGCGGATATACTGGTGCCCCTAACTTCAACTCTTTGTGTTCCTGGTAAGCTTGTCGATACCACTAAGGTCCTCGTTGATATTGGCACTGGATACTATGCAGATATGGTAAGTTTAGTACAATTGTTCTGACGTTATCCTTTAGACAATCGACCAAGCCGATAAATATTTCGAGCGGCGAATAGAATACATTAACAAACACGTTCAGGAAGTCGTTCCTGCCTTGGAAGAGAAGTCCCAAATCCATCGGACTATCTCCGCTACCCTAGAGGCAAAAGTTCAAGAGTTTGTTCGTGACCGTGCCGCCGCCAGCTCTTGATATCTATGACCAATATGACCATCGTTTTCACCATTTCCTCTTTATCTCATTCATACTGTTTACCGCTTTCTATGGCTTTGTCAATGCTCTTCAGCACCATTTGTGCTGTCTGTTTTCACTTTCCTTTTCATGGACTCTTCGTGAGCACTTTGTGTTCTGCCTTCCTTCACATACTAGTATGTGATATTGAAGCTTCAACGTCTTGTTAGCGGTTTTGGACTATCATTCTCACCAGACTGACACGTTATGTTGTCGTTTATTTCAACTAATGTATTGTTCAACTTTGTTCACGATTGTCTGAATTCCAGAGGTGTCGACAACGTTTAATTGAATACAGTTATTTTTAACCTACAATAGCAGGCATGTATACATTCCATTTGTGCGTTCTGTTTTCGCTCGCTGCTCGGCTTTCATCTGTGAGACGCACCGTGCTCTGATGGCTCTCTTTTCAGTCGACATAATGATCACAAGCCTCTGCTTTATCATTTGGCACGAATGTTTCTACGTTCCACGGTTTGCATTCTGCTATTCGGTGCTTGTTTTTTTAGTATGTAAGTCAGGTCAAATTCCAAGGAAGACGCAATCTTCCGCCTAATGAGTTTCTTGCTTTTTGCACCAGTAGGCGCAGCAGAGCCTCCGGCAATACGCCGATTGATTGATTCCCCTTGCTCCCACACAAAAAGTGAAGCAGGAACGAAGGCACTCACTGTGATCTCTTGGATCACCATCTGAATTCGTTGCATGAAATCTCACCGTTTCAACTTTCAAATAAATCTTGGAGAAAGTCTTGCCAAATTATATGTAGGCCCCTCTCAAATGTTACTACTCTGTCGCATTTCAGTTGCTTACAACACGTTTTGTAACGAATTTTACCCTGATATCCTTCTGTCATTTGGACTTCGGACTATTTCCCCGCAGGTAATCCTACGTAAACAGCTCGTTGGTTTAGTGGCACTGAGGGCATTCATAATCTTCATTCATAATCACTCCATCTGCACCGAGTTCACTTTGAAGGTAGACTTTTGAATACCTGATCTTTCGAGCTGGCAAACAAGTCCGGTGCTTTCAGTGACACTGATTGATTGTTCTTCCTTTACTGTTGCAAATGTGGAGCAAGAGCAGTTTCTGTTACCCTCATGAATTATTCAGAATTTCTGTGTCAGCTGCCGTTTTTGTTGTGTTATCTGCATTAGGTCCGATCAAATTTTATTCAAGACATTTTGCACTGTATCTCGTTCACCTAAAACGGATCAGCCTTGCTCCTAGTATTGTGTTACCAACTTACAGTTGTTTATTCCGATGGCCAATGTTGGCACGGTTCTTGTGCTTTTTGCCGTTGTCTGTCTTACATGATGTGTCTAGACCAAATTAGTACTTTAATTTTTATGCATGCCATCACAATTATCCGTGAGATTGAACACTGCCGTAAACTAGTCAACCATTCTATGCTGCCTCACACCGGGGATTTCACTTTCAAGTCTAAACGCAGCATTTACGTTGTAGTCTTACCACTTATTTTTGCTGGGAATCTCTTCTAAGCCGACAGCGATTACCTGTTTCCCACTGTGTCTACATGTGCATCAGTAAACAATTGACCAAGGGAACTCAACCTATAGAGCGCCACGTCACATGGATGAGACCAATACTTTGACAGACTACAATGATACTTGAACAGGGGTCTCTCAGATCGCTCACAATTTCCTGAGAACTGTGGCCATATCTGAGAACGTTTCCAACCAGGTGTGCCGCTGATCTTTGCGTCCCTCATCCTGGGACTACGGAGCACCAGAGTGCGACAAACTTTAAGGTTTGTATTTTCACGTTTTGGTCACGTCGTTTCGTCAGCATCCGACTTCAACGCGCAGAGTGCACAGGAAGTCAACCGCCAAGCACATGAACAAGCCAACGAGGCGTATGCAGTGCAGTTATGCATACCAACATTCGGTATATTCAGTCTGGTTTGGAAATTCGTTAACAAAGTCGCAGTTTCTGATGTGCTGTTACCATCATACACCAGCAGTGCTGCGTAAACCGCTGATAAGAAGCTTACAACCTCCGAACCTTGTTTGCACGAATTGGTCAGTTCTCACAATCAAAGAGCAGAATCGCTCGTTTTGTTGCACCGTGAACTCGGTCTTTCAGAAAAAGGCAAATATCACGTCAGCAGAATAGATGACAGATTAGCAACAGTAACCTGGGCCTTTTAAACTTTCGGTAATATCGTTTGTCAAACCACTAACCGACGCATCTCTCGAAGTAAACAGACACGCCGGCCAGTCCTTAAGAATGAGAGCAGCTCTGGGCGAGTGGGTGCAGATCATCCTGAGCTGTGAAATGAAATCAGCTTACGCGGCCTATTTTGGACTGTCTGTGGGGCACTACAAATTACGGCGATGTCATCAACGCACTCCAAGTAGTCTCTACGCCATTGGGTTCACAATTGTCCAGAGCGCTCTAGAATGGGATTCCTAACAAAGTTGCAATGGAAGGATTGCACTGAGTAACCCTACCTCGCGCCTTTGGGGTTATCTAATGGTAGAGAAAGTCCTACATATAGCAGCACACGGCCCAATATTTGCGAATGAATGGCTTGGGGCATATTAACCTTTCAAGTACTCCGGTTCCCAAAATACTACTTTGAGAAGCCCATTTTTCTATAAGCCAAGCACGGTCCATTTGTCTAAAATGTAAACGATTTTAGCCGACCGCATTTTAGACTACGCTCAGGTATTCGGCAGGTCGTAAAGCTGCGTTTAACACACCTTCGACCTGAGAGAAACCCTGCTTGATCTTCACTTACTTGCCGTTGGAACACCTTGTTGAGATTCCCCAAGAGCAAGGTGTCGAGCAATTTGGGTGCAACGTACATGAAATCGAATCTTCGATGGTTTACTCAATACGTGCGGATCCCTTTTTCGGACGACGAGCTGAAACCGGACGGGATGGCTTCCATGATCCAGATTACTTGGAGATGTTATCTCAGGGACAAGTGATGAACCTCTATATTTGAAAAATCCAAATCAGCTTCGTCTGAACTAGCAGCCTTGTGATGTCTCAGTAACTCATAAGTGGCCTTAGTCTCTATCCGATAGCTAGCACCGCGGTTTCCTGAAGAGGGACTCGATAATCCTGGTAGCTGGTTGAACTGCTGTTCGAAATGCTCAGCTCCACGTACAAGCTACTACTGACGACGGTTCATTCGCTCACCTCTGCTTTCACATAAAATTTTCTTTTCAGTCGTTTTTATTGACAGTGAGTCGGATCAAAACGAAAACCTTGGGCAAATCTCTTGAGACTGACGTTTTTCGATCTCACTGATATGCTGTTTTCCCCAGGTCTGGCGATCATCCCGGAACAGTTGAGTCCAGCCTTGGCAACTCTGCACATTGAGTTGTAATCAATGTCAGCATTAATTGCTCGAAACAGGATAGGCTGTACTTTGGTCTGTTGGTTGACAGCATTTTATCGCAACGTCAGATCAAGGTCGCAGCGTTGTACATAACGCTGCAAATATGTACTCGATGTTTTTGAATGCCAGTGTAAAGGAGCATCAACAATACGCCGGTACACAATACCGACGCTTCTCTGCCGCGCAGGCACCACCTGTTGCACGTGAGCTAAGGATACTGCGAGGATTGCTTGTCTACGCAGGCTCGAACCCGCGCCCTCGGATTACCAGGCACTTGTGAGGTCTGAGGCTAATATTCTGGTAGGCCTAGTGACATCAGGCCATTTCAGACGACGTTACCGTGGACTACCAGGTATATCTTTTATGAATTGGATCACTGGTTTAACGATGGACGCTGCTTTTGCTCACTCTGAACACCTTACTCCACTACTGTTTCTACTTGCTAACCGACTCCGGCTCGTCTTCCATTGGTACCGCTTTTGCTACTTGCTTCAATCTCAAGTACGGTTGAGTATCGTTTGAAATACCGGAGGTCTTACCTTTCTGTCTAGTGCACGAAAGGGGACACTGCATTTATGTGTGGGGAAAACCGCATCTACGCGCTATTACCTGTTCCAGCGAATTCTACACTGACCCATTCAGGCAATTATCGGATGCTCTGTCGGAAACAAAAGACCACGAATACGTGCGTGCGTATCTTTTTACCTCCCAGCGGTTTTTTAATTTTCGATTCTTGTCTAGAAGGATGCTGCATTATAGCTTTTATCTGCAGTATACTGGGCTGCCTCCGCATCTACCTTTTAACTGATTTGCCTGTATTTTTGCTCAACCTTATCAAGTTTTATATCCGCCGTTTGGGTTGCTCCTTATTGCATCGTCAGACTGTGAGAACCTGAGGTGCAAACGGAATTATTTATTCTATAGCTAATGCTATATGCGTCCGTTCCGACAAACGAGACATCCACTCATCTTCGCTATCCCTGTTGGAGGTTGCATGGCGTGGGTTTCCTGTGTCTAGGGGTTTTGGGGTGTGCCTTGCTTGTGCGTCCATACCTCGCGTACATACAACTGAAGTTCTAAAGTATTTCTCTCCTTTCAGGGAGTCATTACGGCTTGTTGTTGGCCGGTTGCCGTTTTGCATTCTGGCCTTTCCACGCTGCTGATAACTGGTACAGTAGTGTCTGCCTTTAGTCCACTACAAGACGAATTAGCACTTTTTGTACTTTATCTATGTTTAAGCTGATCTTTGATGAACACAGATCAGTGCGCTTTAGCCACAAGAAATCACTTCATCTAGGACGGGAAGCTCTTTCTACTGTTTGGCATCAACCCAACTGCGGGCTCCGGTGTCACTACCCGCAGCGTTTTCTCAGCATGACTTGGTTGGTCTTTGCTGATTGTATCCATTTGTACTTTACATTCCCAAAGTTCTGCCTTATTACAGGCCATACTCTGAGTCGAACAGATACCGAATTACCGATATTCGGCTTGATGAGGCCTTATTTGCGTGCTGCGGCTAAAGCGTAACTATCCAGCGATTATGCCTGAGATATATCGAAGAGATCAAATTGTCCTGCTCGGTGAGCACTACAATCACTAAGCAAATCACCCGAGCTACTCGTATTTCAAGGAATTTTAAACAGATTTACAAGTTGCGAATTGGTGCGCTTCTGGATTGTGCAGTTGTTATGTTTGTGTGGAGCATCGAACCAGGCCCGATCGGCTTGACACATTACTTTGCAGTTATGCTAAGATACGTAGGTAGTGGAACAAATGCATTTAATAAAGTGGGAGTGAATTGAAGTTAAGCCTGATATCAGATTCATGAAGTGGCATTTGCGAGTGAGGATGAGTTCAATATTTTCGCTGTTTTATTGTTTTTGCCTTGTCACTTGGGGTTTCCGATAAGTGTTGTGAATAATCCCGTGGAACTTCAGACGATTTGCGCACCAACTCGATTAACTTAT